CGTATTTAAAGAAAACATTGGGCCTTTATGTATCCGACTTCGAAAAGGAGTTCCTCAATTCGGTTTCTTTTTTTTATGTAACTTAAAATGGCAAACAAGCTGACGGCCCACCTTATGGTTGCGGGGGAAAGGGATTGTTAGTAATGGGGTCTGACCCGTTGCTAGCAATACACCGGGGGGCCGTTAGCTTGTTTGCCATTCTAATAAGTATAAAAAAAAGAGAGAGGGAGGTTTCACTAGAACTTACCAGGATGGTTTCCAGGGGGCACCGCGAGGAGGTCGACCTGGTTGGGTATATTGCTAGCAATGGGATTCTCAGTCTCCATTACTAACAATCCCTTCCCCCCCAACCGAAATCTATTATATTCTTGTTTTATTTTAAAATGATTAAATACGATATTATGACGTCCTAAGATTGTTTACTAAATATGTAAATTATGAGAACAGGTTATAGTGGTTTTTGTGTTTATATACATAAGACTAACTTTTGCCTGCAACTTCGTACGCGTTGTTATTGGAAGTTGGTAACTTTTTGGATCATAGTATATCAAAATAAACTAGAGACTACAGCATGGGGTTCTTCAAAAGGGGGGGTAAAGAGGTTTCTTCAGGGTCGGCAACGCGCGCGTAATACCTCTGGTATTGCAGGCGTTCATAGTCTACTGTAACCGCTTACTATCAGGTGGGCCGTATGCTTATTTGCCACCTCAGTGGTATAAAAAAAAAGATTTTCGACTGATTTTGAAAAGACAAATTGGTTGTTTTATCTTTTTTTTTTATGTTTGTTACCTTATAACTCCGTCAGATATTTACCAGAGGGTGACTTTGTATAAAAGTTGTTTGCTTGGGTACTTCTGTCCCATTCGTGTTTCTACCGTAAAGCAGTTGTGTTTGCATGGCTGTGTTTCGGTTTGAAGGGTGGGATATGGCAGTGAATTTACAGAGTACAGAGGAATAACATCTGAGTCCTCAGGAATGGCAACGCATGGGGGGTATTGTGGGCGAACAGTTTACTCTGTTATGTCCATGGTACTGCTCATGTCTATAGGCGACGGTTACCACTTTCCATCAGGTGGGCCGTCAGCTTGTTTGCTAATCTAAGTTGCATAAAAAGATAGTTAGTTTTTGCGTAATACCGGTGAAAACATATGGATAGACAAAAATAACAAATATATATATATATATATATATATATATATATATATATATATATATATATATATATATATATATATATATATATATATATATATATATATATATATATATATATATATATATATATATATAATTTTGCCTTCTATCGCTCTTATTATTATGCCCATGTGTCTGACATCTGACATCTTTTAGTTACAATTTTATCATACTAAGTAAGATTGATCGGTATCTCAGCGTCGTCTAACTCTATGTGTGTCTATGGTCGTGACCCCAAAAAAACGTAGACGTAACGAAGTGGATGAGTCAGTCAAACAAGCGTAATCTAGATTGTAGTTAATCTAGTCTAGTTTTTTGCACAGTACAATGACCCCGGCTTTAAAATTTTCATCTCGCACCGGGCGACCGTCGAGCTGTATTTTTTAAGTGGTATTCAGAAGTGAATCTTAGATTGGCTGTGTTTTTTATTGTTTTTTTTTTACTACCTATTTCCCGTGGCTTTGTCCGTGCGGTTATGCCAGTAGTTTATGGGTGAAAAATGGAATGGTAACTCGCTGCCCATCCCTCGACCAATAAATTCCTTTAGCTTTGTGCCCCGTCAGTGTATACCGATAGCGCAGCCGGGGCAACCGTTCCACCTGCACCTATTCAAAAAGAGAAAAGAGAACATTGCTAGCAATGGTAAACTTCATTATAAAATAATCTCTCCCCCCCCTCCCCCTTCGCGTCTACAAGCGGAGGTTACAAGTATTGTTTACGGAATTAAGTTTCTATAACTGGTTTATTAAAGATATAGTCATGTAAACATAAATTAATAAAACATAAGTAAACATGGGTATAAATATATGTCATTAATACGTCATCGTCATCATATCAGCCTTTAACTGTCCACTGTTGAACATAAGCCTCTCCCCAGGGGGGGTTTTGCCAGTAGTTGCCACGTTTGGCAGCCGGATTGGCAACCGCATTGAGAGATGTTTTTATAGGGACGCTGCTATCCATCCCTCGTCCTCTCTTATTGGCTTCTTACGACATTCACGGGATAGGAAGGGGTGGTCCATTCTATTCCGGGGCTACACGGTAATTCATATGAACAAACATAATATGTAGTGACAAACGCATTACTCACCTTTGTGATGTCGGGTAAAAAATAGTATTACACCGGCCTCCTGATAAATATAGCCTCCACAGTTTTTCCTCGCATGACTGATTGTATGTGTCCATATACTATAATAATTAACAGATGCGCTATTAGGCATTGTCTCACAGAGGTTTTCGTGCTAGTCGATCGTCACTTTGGGGTCGATTCTGAAGCATCACTACCTATCTATAAATTTACAATATTAACTTAATATTACAGCGAAATTATTGTTTTAAGGTTAATAAATGAATTAAATTTTTATTTTTAACCGCTTTATATTAAGATGGTCCACATCTTAATAGTTTTGTTAAACTATCAAATTCAACAATCAATCAATGGCAAGTCATGAGCGAAACAGTATACTCTGTTATGTCTATGGTACTGTTCATGTTTATAGGCAACGGTTACCACTTTCTATCAGGTGGGCCATCAGCTTGTTTGCCATTCTCAGTTGTATAAAAAAATATATGAACAGGCTATAGTTCTCACTGTCCTTCAGGTGGGCCTTAAGCCTATCTGACGGTAGTGGTACAGTAGAATCGATCCTAAGTGAGTGGAGAGATGAAAGAAGTTTTTTCCTTAAACTTAATGACTTGTAATAAAATTAATATAGGATATTGGAGTAAGTATCGATTGAAAAGTAAATTCAGATCGGAACAGGCGGGGGTATCGCGTGGCACTTATAGAAATACAGGTATATTGGGAATGTTGTTTTGTAAGTTGTTTAAAAGTGAAACCGAATATGGGGGATCGAATGGATCTTCTCCAATTTTACTTTATACCTTTCTGTGTATATTATTTAACATTATGGCCAATTTTTATTTGTTTATTTACTTTTATTATTATAATAGCCGTTAACTGTCCACTGCTGAACATATGTCTCCCCCTTAAGGGGGGTTTTGTCAGTAGTTGCCACGCTTGGCGGGCGGGTTAGCAATCGCTGTTAGGCTTTGGTGATGTTTTAAAAGAGACGCTGTTGCCTATTCCTCGACCATTAAGTTTCATTAGTCGCCTTTTACGACACCTACGGGAAAGGATGGGGTGGTCCATTCTACGCCGGGATCATGTTCAGCAGTGGACAGTTAACGGCTGTTACGACGATGATGACGACGATGATGATGATGTTTCGTGTTTTTGGTGATGGTTGAGCAAAATGTACTTGTTAAATTATTCAATCTTTATTATTCCGTTGGTAATATTGTTTGCTACGGTGCCGCGGTGGACTGACTATTGGGTTGTGTAATAAAATTAGCTTTCGCCAACGGCTGGTGCCTGAATCATTGATTTGCCAACCCTAACCGTCGCGTTTCCCAGGGCAAATATATCCAGGTCACACGTTGTATTCATTTATTGTTAATGCATACAAATTGATATTGCATGAAGATAGATACGAGTACATCCGATATATTTTTCAATCGATATAACTTATTTACTTTATCTATGTACTTCTCTAGATAGTATAAAACAAAGTCGCTTTCAGCCGTCTGTACGCTTAGATCTTTTAAATTACTAATTTTTTTTTTGATGGGTGAAAATGGTATGGTAACCCCGCCTGTGCTAACGGGATACGCTGGCGGAGCACGAGTGAAGGGTGATAGATGAGAATGAAAACAGGCCAGTTAGCCCAACATGATGAATTCATCAGGAATTAACCGTGATAGTTTCCAGGGGGAACCGCGATGAGGTCGACCTGGTTGGGTATATTGCTAGCAATGGGATTCTCAGTCTCCATTACTAACAATCCCTTTCCCCCCTTAAATTACTAATTAACAATTGATTGTTAGTAATGCGGACTACCAGTCCTATTGCTAGCAATAAACCCTGTCAGGTCGACCTCCACGTGATCCCACCTGGAAATCATCGTGCTGAATTTCAGGTGTATTCATCACGATGGGCTAACTGACTTGCCTTTCATCCTCACTTATCATCCCTCACTGGTGCCCCGCCAGTGTATACTAATAGCGCAGGCGGGGTTACCATTCCATTATCACCTATTAAAAAAAATCTATCAATCGATTGAACGATTCGGTTTGTCACTAATTACATATACAGAGTGTTCCAGTAATAATTTCAACACAATTTGGCTATATTTCTCATTATGTTTTCCTGAAATGGATCATACACTAGTAATAAAATACAAAGTTGTACATAAATATATCAGCGGGACGAATGATGGCGTCCGTCCGTCACACGTCACATTACGTTATGATTTATATACGATGCAATTGAATTATGTGGCACGTGGTTCAGAAATAGTAGGTGTAGTTTCTACCGTGAAGCAGTTGTGTTTGCATGGCTGTGTTTCGGTTTGTAGGGTGGGATATGGCATGAATTTACAGGGTACAGAGGAATAACACCTGAGTCCCCGGGAGTGGTAATGCATGGGGGGTATCATGGGTGAAACAGTATACTCTATTATGTCTATAGTACTGCTCATGTGTACATCAGGTGGGCCGTCAGCTTGTATGCCATTCTAAGTTGTATAAAAAAAATACGAAAAACAACCTTATTACTAAAAATTCTTTTTTTTAATTTTTTTTTATAGTTTTTTCCCAAATTGGATATATTCGAAATGTTATTGCTGACTGTAAGCAAGCCTAGGGTAGTTACTCCACCAATTCACTGACGTCACCCGTCTGCGTGAATAGTCTATGGTTTAACGACATGCGCAGACGTCGTTATTACGGGCTCAGCTAACGGCGCGCGTTATCGTGTACGATACCTTATCGTAGCGGGCGTATTGCGTTCCAGCGGCCAGTAGCCGAGTGCGCGTGACGTGTTCCAATTTCAAAAGTCAAGTGTTCCGTTTTTAAATTTTTATATTTTTTGTTGATATTCGAATTTCGAAAATCCTATTGAGACGCACCCGATTTTTGTAAGTGAATTTTATTTTTAATTTTTTAAAGCGACCGGTACGGAAGTCAATTGTCGATTACAAAAAGATTGTGACGAAATGAGACCAAATTAACTGAATACTTATTACTGGTGTATTTAGGACTATTCTCCAGGGGGATCCTGGCCCTTTGAAAGGTCGCATATGTTCTTTCAGACATGTTTTTGCGAAGTATCTCTCACATGCTGGGGATGGGCACTGGACAACTCTAGAGGTGGGCACGGCTCACCGGGCTCTTCTCTTCAATATTTTTTTTTTATACGACTTTGAATGGCAAACAAGCTGACAGGCCAACTGATGAAAAGTGGTAACCGTCGCTTATAGACATGAGCAGTACCATGGACATAACAGAGTACACTGTTTCGCCCATGATACCCCCCATGCGTTGCCATTTCTGAGGACTCATGTGTTATTCCTCTGTACCCAGTAAATTCACGCCATATCCCACCCTTCAAATCGAAACACAGCCATGTAAACACAACTGCTTCACGGTTGAAACACGAATGGGACAGAGGTACCCAAGCAACGGTGGTTTTTTTAATGGGTGATAATGGAATGGTAACCCCTCCTGCGCTAACGGAATACGCTGGCGGGGCACCAGTGAGGGATGACAGGTGACACGTTAACATAGACGATTGGCAACCGATTTTGATAATTATTTTTTGTAATTAACAAATATTACGCGCTAGTTCCATTTAAATTTTATTAGGATTCAAGTTGCAGTTTTTCTTGCAGAGCAAAGACTGCTCTTTGAGGAATATTGTAACACATCTCAGCGTTCTAAATTCAAACGTCTCCAGTCTAATGTGTCTACGAAACATCTCGTCAGGGGGGAAAGGGATTGTTAGCAATGGAGTTTGACAGCCCCATTGCTAGCAATATGCCCTATTAGGTCGGCCTCCACCTGGTTCCCCCTGGAAACCATCGTGAACAATTCTTGTTGAATTCGTCACGATGGGCTAACTGACCTGCTTCATCCTCAGCTATCATCCCTCACTGGTGCCCCGCCGGTGTATACCGATAGCGCGGGTGGGGTTACTATTCCATTATCATCCATTAAAAAAAAAATCTCGTCACTAATTGATGTTCTTCCTCTCCAAAAAACTTAACCAAGCTGAACGCTTCAGTGAGCTCCGCAAGTGCGAAAGGGACGGCGATATCCGATCACTCGTTCTAACGCATCACATTTTCCGTTAGTAACGAAACGCGTTACTCGTTTAACGAAGTCTGATTCACAAACTAATAATAGCGCTTTGACGTACTCTGTAACTCGTGTTCAGCGATTTCACACTACATGGATCTTATTTGTATTGCAATAAATCATATATTTGCATGCACTTATTGCTAGTATGATTTGCTGAAGTGTGAATTTAATTTAAGGCATAGCTTCCTACATTAGCGTAGCGTTAGCTATAAAATTAATCATTGGTCAATAACTTTGTTAGTGCGGTGTTTGTTGTACTAGTCATCACCTAAAGTGGTGATTGCTGTGATGAAGTGGTAGGTACATTGCTCTAAATGGAGTTCCGATTTAGATTCAATTTAAGAATCTATGTTTTTAATATTTTTTTTTAACATGTAAATAGGTAGGCAGGCTAATGTTTATTATAATAAAAGGAAAAATGTTAAATTACAAGCGCATTTAAACCTAGTAATGATGCTAAATTAGTTGCACTATCCATAATATTTGAGTACATTTGTTGTTTTATCATATCATCGTGCAATGTCTATGTTCTAAATATTCTTCAGTTATTGCTCAGAAGCAAGACTTTGTATAAAAGTCGTTTGCTTGGGTACCTCTGTCCCATTCGTGTTTCAACCGTAAAGCATGATACTGTTCATGTCTGTAGGCGACGGTTACCACTTTCCATCAGGTGGGCCGTCAGCTTGTTTGCCATTCTAAGTTGTATAAAAAAAAATCTAAGTATCGTAAAGTACTTAAAAAAAGTCATATAGGCCGATGTGTAATTTGCCCGAAACGAAATACGTATTTAATGTAGTTAGAAACTAACATTAATTTATTTTAATTGCATCTGGCAATTGCAAAATTATAAATTATTATTCCTATTTGTGTCCGTACAAATAGGAATGCCACAACAATACTAAACTCCCAACCTACATCCGTATCTGTAACTTGTTTCATCATCATCATTTCATCATCATTATCACCACCATCATCACCACCATCATCACATCAGTAGTCTACTGTGTGTGTATATATAGTAGTGACTACTATATCAAGCTATTATACCTTGTGTCATTACAAACCATGCAACGAAATGCACATGATTAATGCTATATAGCTTCTATAGCTAAACATCGCATCGCATAATCGCTGTACACAAGACTTTATGTTGGAATATTGTTGGTCGCACACTTATTTTGCGCATTGGCAATTTGCTTACCGCTCGTTACGCACGCACACACGGTCATCTCGTGTTCAGTATTAAGTGTCGCAGTGTGAGTGTGTCCACAGTGTAATTTATCAACGCCAATGTGTGAGTATATTCACTAGTGTGCACTTTGAGTTACTCTGAAGAGTTTTGTTTGTGAATTTGAGTTTCTTTTCTATACAAATGTTTTAATATCTTGTGTATTAATATCTGAATATTAAAAATCGGATTATTTGTCCGTCTGTCTGTCTGTGCATCAGACTTAGTATAATAATAAGGTATGCCCTTTTTTACTTTTTTAATGGCCACTAATTATTTTTCACCTAACAGTGACTTTGACAAATTGTTGTATATAATACTAAATAAATATTGCTTGATTAACTTTAAAAAATAATTAAATTGATTGCGTCCCACAAAAAATAAAAACCGACTTCACTCGTGACAAAATCAGTTATTTTGCTCTAATAATTACTGAATCGATTTTGATAAAATTTCTGTGGGACCAATCTGTAAGTATATCTTGATTTTGTGGAACACAATCTTAATTATTTTTTAATACCACGAAGGTAACAAACGAGCATACAGCCAGTCTGATAGTAACGGTCACTGTAGTCTACGAACGCCTGCGATACTAGGAGTGTCACGTGCTCGCCGCCTACCCTGAAGAAACCCTAATACACGCTTTATGAAGAACTTTTAAAAATAGAACACACTGACGTTGTAAATTTAGAATGCACATTCTATATTTGAAATTTCAAACGTAACGTCTATAATTACCCACCGTCGCCTACTTCGTGATCTCTGGCCACTAAAACACGACAGACTGCGTCCCATACGTGACCTATGCCAATAGATTTTTAGCCGCGTATACTATTTTAATCATATAATAAAATTGTACATATTGGCGACCACGTACGGGTAAGCGCAGTGTAGGACGACCCCCCACAAGATGGAGTGACGACCTGAAATGCGTTGCAGGAAGTCAGTGGATGCAGGTAGCGCAGGATTCTTGTTTATGGCAGTCTATGGGGGAGGCTTATGTCCAGCAGTGGACAAATAATGGCTCAAATGATGATGATGATGACTATACATGGGAGATATTTAAGAAAAATTGATATAAGGCGCCTTACTAAGATCCTTTTTTTATACAACTTAGAATGTCAAACAAGCTGCCGGCCCACCTGATGGAAAGTGGTATCCGTCGCCTATAGACATGAGCAGTACCGTGGACATAACAGAGTATACTGTTTCGCCCATGATACCCCCCATGCGTTGCCATTCCTGAGGACTCAGGTGTTATTCCTCTGTGCCCAGTAAATTCATTGCCGTATCCCACCGTTCAAACCGAAACACAGCCATGCAAACACAACTGCTTCACGGTAGAAACACGAATTGGACAGAGGTACCCAAGCGAACGACTTTTGCATAGTTTCCCTCTGGTATTATTTGAAGTCGGTTACAAATACAGACCATTTGAGATAACTCACGGAAGTTGTATGAAAAAATTTTGTAAAGCATTTTTATCAAGACCTGTGTATATAAGGTGTTACCAAATTATCTGTATTGGGGGGGGGGGGGGGGGAAACGGATTGTTAATAATGGAGACTGAGAATCCCATTGCTAGCAATATACCCAACCAGGTCGACCTACTCGCGGTTCCCCCTGGAAACTATCATGGTTAATTCCCGATGAATTCATCATGATGAGCTAACTGGCCTGTTTTCACTCTCATCTATCACCCTTCACTGGTGCTCCGCCAGCGTATCCCGTTAGCGCAGGCGGGGCTACCATACCATTTTCACGAATCAAAAAAAAATATCTGTATTCCCGGCTACAGGGCATAGTATTAGATATATACATTACGATTAAAGCCGAAGTAGTATGAAATTATTAAAAAAAAAAATATATATATATATATATATATATATATATATATATATATATATATATATATATATATATATATATATATATATATTCTCTATCACATTGTTGGTCGCGCTCACTCCGTCAGTTTTGGCGTAACGTGAAAAATTTACATTTATTAAGGATATTTTTATTCTGTGTAAAATTTTATGACATTTGGGACACGAAATTCTATTTTTATCGTAACGTAAATGCGTAATACTATATACCTTTAAAGGGAATGCAGATAATTTGGTAACACTTTATATTTGGGTTCCGAGATTTCAAGGTCATACATACAAAAAATACGCACACAGTGCATCCATTGACGACGGGACATGATAAAAGTATGCACATAAATACAAGCATTGGTTGTTGAGACGGGGTCATTGAACTTTGAAGGTTATTTTGTGACAGTAAATACATACAATTGCCGTATGGTCCCGGCATAGAACGGACCACCCCTTCCTTTCCCGTGGGTATTGTAAGGGGCGACTAAGGGAACTTTATGGTCGAGGTATGGGTAGTAGCGTTCCTCTTAAAATATTATCAAAGGCTAACTGCGGTTGCCAACCAGCTCGCCAATTGTGGCAACTACTGGCAAAACCCTCTTTAAGGGGGAGGCCTGTTCATTAGTGAATAGTTAACGCTTACTTATTTCTTAAATACACATTAAAAATTGTG